TTTTTTGTTGTTCATGTTAATTGAATAAGGAGATAACAAAGTCATTCAACTTACTGCACAGAATGTTGCTGTGTAAATACTGAGTGACTGAAGCGTTATCCGCCCTGCGCCGAAGTGCACCCTCGGCGGCGAAAGAAAGGCGAGGGTACTAAGTTTCCCAACCGGGTTCTAACACGCGTTCGGCGAGCACGCAAAAACCACACAATTATTCTAGACTAGAATCGTTGCGCGTACTCAGCGTGCTCCGCGTCAAGGGTGCGCCGCTACAAGTAAATTCCCACAGACAGCAATGAAAATCCCCACACTTGGCAATTATTTGAAAAGTACTCACAACTCACACAGGTGTCCAGGCTGCAGAGAAATACGATGATCGACATGTTCCCCTTTCATTTTCCTTTCAATTTTCGGGGGGTGGACAAATGAATTTTTGAGAAATTTGCACCAGAAGCAGACCGCCCCTAAAATGAAGAAAATGTCCCTGCCCAGAAAAGTAGCCATTTTAATTAAAATAGCCATTAACACACACCTTAACGCAAGCTGAAGTTCCTTGTTTGAAAATGCCTCTCCCCTTCATTACACTGCGTAGTGTAGTATAAATCTGTGCCAGAAATGGGTGGGAGAATGGAGAAAGGTGGGGGATGACTTGGCCACCATCAAAATTTTAAAAGCGAGGGGGGGGTGACATCATTTGGCTATATATAGTTAATGGTCATGATATTGATGTACATCTGTATTATGAATTCAGAATGGCATATTTATATTTTAAAATTGTTTTTTCTTTTTGAGTGATATTAGTGAATGCATTTTAGTCGTCGAATGTCTGAAAATTCGTCGCAATCCGCTTTAATTTTTTGCTTACCACAAAATCTGTATGTGTGGGGATGATTCAATAGCCCATCCCCACTTCAAAAAGTGGGGGGACGTATAACGCCCCCTCCCCAGGATTTACGCCCATGGTGGCATGAATGGTCGGTGAGCCTTCCGTTGTGTTCGTCACATCAGTGGTTAGACCCTTTGGTTCGAATGAAGCCTATAATTGATTATAAAAATTGTTTTCTAATTTACTATCCTCATTGGTCTACGTACATGTGACCGGACGTGGGATTTTAGGCCGTCCCTGGTAGTGGGGTGGTAGGTCCATCCTCTAGTGATAGAGGATGAGGCACTCTCCCTTGACTGATTCCCCAAAGAATTCAGTCGGAAACCGGACGCT